AGAGAAGAATCTTGAAGAACAGGAGGAGAATGAAGTAATCAGTCCCTCAACCTTGAGTCGATGTGGTCAGTCCATCAATCTTGAATAGAATTGGACTGACCACATCGACTCAAGGTTGAGGGACTGATTACCTCATTCTCCTCCTGTTCTTCAAGATTCTCCTATGTATGGACTGATGAAGCCACTGTGTGGCGAAACGTTTCCTCAATAAAGATACCCAAGAGTTGCACATGTGTCTAATTTATCAATATGTCGGATCTCTGAACCATTCATCTACCAGCCTAGGAAAGGTTGGGGGGAGGGGGTAAAGGAGGTTTTGTGTGTGAGGGGATTGGACTTCCAGCGAGCATGCGTAAGTATATTGCAGGTCTGTACCAAGATACCCTTGTGTTGCAGTGTCAGACAGAGTGAACATTAAAATGGTATAAAATACCGACAACCTGTCGGTATTTTATACCATTTTAATGTTCATGCGTAAGTATGTTAGTAGGAGTTAATGGAGGCAAATGGTTTTTAGGGTTTGACGTGCTGTTGGAGTGTGAGCAAAGTAACATGAAGGGATTCACGGAAACCGGCAGGCCGGACTTGAGTCCTGGAGGTGGGAAGTACAGTGTCTGCACTCTGAAGGAGGGGTGTTAATGTTGCAGTTTAAAAACTGTAGTGTAAAGCACCCTTCTGGCAAGACAGTGATGGAGTGAATGATGGTGAAAGTTTTTCATTTTCGGGTCACCCTGCCTTGGTGGGAGACGGCCGATGTGTTAAAATAAAAATAGTGACTGATGAAGAAAGCTTTTGTAACTTGTGAGTTCATTACCTTTGTACCTTGTTCAGCTATCAAAACTCTGGGGCCCAGTCCCTGGACCCATTATGCACCTCTGTAATATTTTGACTACCGCCCACGGGATGGGTATGGGGTAGGTAAGACACACAGGCAACAGTTAGGCAGCTTTATTCCGAAACGTTTCGCATACACAGTAGGCTTCTTCGGTCGAATACAGAAAGTAGGCAGGAACAGTGAGAACTGTTGGATCTGAGAGGGACATGACCTCTCAGTGGCTGCATTCTTACTACTACTACTCTGCACCTCTCCTTCCGACAGTATTTAAGTCTCCGCACTGTCGCTTGATCTTCAGATAGTTCCTGACTATGGAACAGAACTTCTCCAGGCTGAGGGACTGACAACCTCAAATCTACGACTTCAAGGGTGATGGACTGATTACATCGTCTTCACATCTCTACTGTTCCTGCCTACTTTCTGTATTCTACTGAAGAAACCTACTGTGTAGGCGAAACGTTTCGGAATAAAGCTGCCTAACTGTTGCCTATGTGTCTTACCTACCAATCTGTCGGTATCGTATACCATTTTGATATTCATGGGTCTGGGGTGCATGATAAACATGTTAAACTAACTGATGAACAATGCATTGACCGTCATTTCGTATCAGGTTTACAGGGCTCCTGATAGTCGATACTGTATCGAACCCTCATGAACGGTCGAAGCAATCAGATCCCTTTGACTGTTCTTTACCTCCCCATCACGTCTCCCCGCAGACCTCCACACATACTTAGTAATGAACCTGTCCATCGGGTTCCTGATGAAGAGCTCTTGATCCAAGGAAATAAACCTATCCCAAGTACAGTTATAGAGGCCAGAACGTTGTGTAGCTTTAAAAATAGGTTGGATAAATACATGAGTGGATGTGAGTGGGTGTGAGTTGGACCTGATAGCTTGTGCTACCAGGACGGTTGCCGTGTTCCTCCCTTAAGTCAATGTGACCTGACCTGACTAGTTTGGGTGCATTGGCTTAAGCTGGTAGGAGACTTGGACCTGCCTCGCATGGGCCAGTAGGCCTGCTGCAGTGTTCCTTCGATCTTATGTTCTTATGTTCTAATTTTCACGAACCAAATCTACTTCCCATTCCTCAGACTGACACGTATAAATCTATTTGTCGTGAATATTATTATTAATAATTTACAGGAGGAGGATAGGAATACACACGAGTAATGAACACGTATAATATATTTTAATATTTATAGCATATCTCTATCATCGGCACATTATTTGGGTAAAAACACCAATGGTTAATACAATTTTATACTTGTTACAGCGACGTTCACCCTTTGCGAAAGGCAGCCATGTGATTTAGCATATAAAACCACACTGAAAAGGCACGTTGCAGAAGCTTCTGTTGGGACAACTTTTCGCTCCCTGTAGAGATTTATCAGGGGCGAAACGTTGTGGTAATAAAAGCTACAACGTGTGTTTTCTTTACTGCTGTTACCAGTAACTGTGTATCCAAAAACGCTCACCGGCTGCTGCTTATTTCGAGTCAGTAAGATTATTTTGACAACCATTATGACCTGGGAATTCCCTTGAGAAATCTTGTTCTAAGATGAAAATTCAAGTATTATGGTGGAAATTCTAGTATTTTTTTCATTTGCCTTCATTGTGGTGGAATTCACGAGCATTTACCCATGTGCAGAATTTTACTAAATGGATTTTAATGGGTATTTAAGGGTGAAAGTCGCAGAACACGTCACACGTATGGCTTGTTATGGTAAGAGGCTTAGGCACATGTCAGACCAGAAGGAAAAGTAGGAAGGGAGGAAGTAGGAAGAGGGTAATGGGTAATGGGGAGAGGAGAAAGGGAAGTAGGATGAGGAGAAATGGAAGTAGGATGAAGAGAATGGGAAGTATGAAGACGGAAAGTGGGAACAGGGAAGAGGAAGAAAGAAAATGGAGAGGGGTGGGGGGTAAGGAGAGAGAAAAGGGGATCACAAAATGTTGCTTAGGATAAAAGACTTGAAAATGGTTCCTTAAAAAATCGATATATATATATATATATATATTTCAGGCTATGTACATGATTCTACCTCAGAGATGATTGTGTCTTCACCATCTGGCTGTACACTGGTTGTGTCTTCACCATCTGGCTGTACACTGGTTGTGTCTTCACCATCTGGCTGTACACTGGTTGTGTCTTCACCATCTGGCTGTACACTGGTTGTGTCTTCACCATCTGGCTGTACACTGGTTGTGTCTTCACCATCTGGCTGTACACTGGTTGTGTCTTCACCATCTGGCTGTACACTGGTTGTGTCCTCACCATCTGGCTGTACACTGGTTGTGTCTTCACCATCTGGCTGTACACTGGTTGTGTCTTCACCATCTGGCTGTACACTGGTTGTGTCCTCACCATCTGGCTGTACACTGGTTGTGTCCTCACCATCTGGCTGTACACTGGTTGTGTCTTCACCATCTGGCTGTACACTGGTTGTGTCTTCACCATCTGGTTGTACACTGGGTGTGTCTTCACCATCTGGCTGTACACTGGTTGTGTCCTCACCATCTGGCTGTACACTGGTTGCGTCTTCACCATCTGGCTGTACACTGGTTGTGTCTTCACCATCTGGCTGTACACTGGTTGTGTCTTCACCATCTGGCTGTACACTGGTTGTGTCTTCACCATCTGGCTGTACACTGGTTGTGTCTTCACCATCTGGCTGTACACTGGTTGTGTCTTCACCATCTGGCTGTACACTGGTTGTGTCCTCACCATCTGGCTGTACACTGGCTGTGTCTTCACCATCTGGCTGTACACTGGTTATGTCTTCACCATCTGGCTGTACACTGGTTGTGTCCTCACCATCTGGCTGTACACTGGTTGTGTCCTCACCATCTGGCTGTACACTGGTTGTGTCCTCACCATCTGGCTGTACACTGGTTGTGTCCTCACCATCTGGCTGTACACTGGTTGTGTCCTCACCATCTGGCTGTACACTGGTTGTGTCTTCACCATCTGGCTGTACACTGGTTGTGTCCTCACCATCTGGCTGTACACTGGTTGTGTCCTCACCATCTGGCTGTACACTGGTTGTGTCCTCACCATCTGGCTGTACACTGGTTGTGTCCTCACCATCTGGCTGTACACTGGTTGTGTCTTCACCATCTGGCTGTACACTGGTTGTGTCTTCACCATCTGGCTGTACACTGGTTGTGTCTTCACCATCTGGCTGTACACTGGTTGTGTCTTCACCATCTGGCTGTACACTGGTTGTGTCCTCACCATCTGGCTGTACACTGGTTGTGTCCTCACCATCTGGCTGTACACTGGTTGTGTCCTCACCATCTGGCTGTACACTGGTTGTGTCTTCACCATCTGGCTGTACACTGGTTGTGTCTTCACCATCTGGCTGTACACTGGTTGTGTCTTCACCATCTGGTTGTACACTGGGTGTGTCTCACCATCTGGCTGTACACTCGTTGTGTCTTCACCATCTGGCTGTACACTGGTTGTGTCTTCACCATCTGGCTGTACACTGGTTGTGTCTTCACCATCTGGCTGTACACTGGTTGTGTCTTCACCATCTGGCTGTACACTGGTTGTGTCCTCACCATCTGGCTGTACACTGGTTGTGTCTTCACCATCTGGCTGTACACTGGTTGTGTCCTCACCATCTGGCTGTACACTGGTTGTGTCTTCACCATCTGGCTGTACACAGGTTATCGTGTCTCACCATCTGGCTGTACACAGGTTGTCGCGTCTCACCATCTGGCTGTACACAGGTTATGTCGTCTCACCATCTGGCTGTACACAGGTTATCGTGTCTCACCATCTGGCTGTACACAGGTTATACACATATCAGAGTGATGACACTGTTGTACCCAAACACACACACACACACACACACACACACACACACACACACACACACACACACACACACACACACACACAGATCTCTGCAATAATAAATGTAATCGTTCCTACGAACCATCGTAGATATTCGTGATATTAATCACACTGGTGCGTAATGGCGAGAAAATGTTATGATCCAGGTGTGTAAATATTGAAAGTCTAATACAGGGTGAGTCAACAATCTTATGAGAATGATTTTAGTCTTTGTCTGCCTCCGTCATGTCGTTCACTGGTAACTTTGTTTTTGTACTTCGAGGACACGTGCAAATCAATGCCTCGACCAGTTCGCCTCTTGTCATATTACTATGAAGCCTCGTGGAGTTCGATACCTTGATCAGTTCATTTTTTTTTTCTACGAAGCCTCGTGGAGTTCGATACCTCGGCCAGTTTGTTTTTCTTCTATGAAGCCTCATGGAGTTCGATACCTCGACCAGTTAGTTTTTTTTCTTCTTCTACGAAGCCTCGTAGAGTTCGATACCTCAGCCATTTCGTTTCTTCTTGTCCTACTACTTCGAACCTTCGTTGAATTCGATGATTCAGTTGGTGTACTGGTCCCCTTCTGTTATCACTTCTGTATCTCTTAGAGTTTATAACAGCCAGTTCGTTTACTAGGTTTCGTGGCCCTTAATAAAAACAATAGTTATGGTTACTACCAGGTCTGGTGTCCAAGAGTCCTTGACCTGGTGACACCTTTTGCTTTGTGAGTACCTGTTTGATGTCTTGTACTATGAAGTGGTGTGTCTACTAAATCTGGGGGTGAGTCTTGCAGCTACGACCAAGTTGCTCTAGGCCTGGTGAAGTAACTAGCGACTTTGGTCGACTACTCGAGCACGTGGTGAGTTAATGCAAGATCTACTGAGTTTCTTTTGATGCTAAGAAAATACGGCATTACTTGCTGACTTACTGAAAAGCAAAGAAACTCACTAAAGAAGTTGAAGAGTTAACTATACAGTTGTCTAAAAGGCTTTAAAATTTATACCTCTCATGTTGAAAATCTACAGAATATGTACAACATAGCGGGTAAATACGAAAATTTGCATGATCCAAGTGAATTACCGGGTCAGGTCAGAGACCGTAGATCATTTAGTGTTGGTTCAGGACCCACTGGGAGAGTTTCAAGAGGTCTGTACATCATATCCAGACACTGCAAATAGACAGAGGTGAGGCAGACGAAGGTAAATAAACCTGACTGATACATTTTCTCGTCACACTTTGGAACCAGAGAAATGATGGAGTTTGTACATTGGCCGCTGATGGGCGCACACTGTTGCTCAGTGGAAGCGAACATGTAGCGTTTTACCCACATCTACGCCATCGTTGCTCCTCAAAAGATAAACTAATGTACATGTCTTGATCAATGGGTATCATACAACCTATGAAGTAGTGAGAGTGGGGAGGATAAACTGGTGCCATAATGTCATGAAATAATCTCTTCTTGGCAAATATCACAGACTGATGTTAAGGAATGTCCAAAATATGACACAGAATTATGATTATTCGTTAAAAAAGAGCATCGCTGAGACTCCAGAAGTGCGCGAGCCTCAAGTCAACATTGTGGCCGTAGCAGAGGAATTTTGGGTGTGCTGACGCGCAGTTTTGGAGACGATGGTGGATGCGATACCTTACATTAACTTTGAATCCTTCTCCTTATGTAAACGTACAATACTATATAGATAAAATTTACTGTAAATTTAACCTTAATCTCACTGGGCTTCATACTGTTCCCGGGAGCGTCGTAAGAAAGGATAAAGACCTGGTCATTTCTTGACCACAAATGGCCGCATTATCCATTTTTTTTAGGAGTAAACAATTTATGAAGGATTTTTACTCACGTTGAAAGCGATTATTTGATAATAATGCAATATTAGCGAAAAAAAATATTAACAAATATCACACAAAACACCGATGAATACGCAGTTTTACCATAGAGGGACACAGAAGAACTTTGGGACACGTCTTCGAGAGTGTGAATTTCCCCAAGAACAGCCACAGAAAGATGAATATTGATGAGTGAAATCTGATATCACTCTGAGAACAAGAGTCTAGATACAGGATTGTCATCATATGGTACACCAAGAACTAGACTTGGAAGTTTTTAATTAGAGATTGTGGGTGTGTTCTCTCCTGTAGTAGTGTTTTTATCATGGAAACTGGAAAAGGAAGTCTCCTGCTGCTGGTGTTAGTCATGCAATAACCCGCTCAGTGGAGCTTCTGGTCATGTGACCAAGGTCACCTGCTGGCTTACTGGTCCACCCAGCAAAAAACGAAAAAAATCACATCAGATGTGTTTTTCATGTTTCCTCACACCATGGAACAAGCAACACTTTCTCGTGTCTTCAAAGGAAACTTCCCACAATATAACTATGGAAGGCTGATAATATGTACAAATTGAAGTTTCTCAGTAGGAAATATATGCCGTCATCAGTAACGTAAAATATAGGTAATATGAAGTCGGAGAAGTGTTCAGAGAGAGATTTCTAGCTTCTCCATCTCCCTTGTCAGTTCCCAGTGGCAACCCTTTAAAAATAATGAAGTATTTAATGTTTTTTTAAAAACTTGTTGAATGATTTCGAGGGATATAATAGGGCAGTATTAAAGCCGTCTATTAAATATATTGATCTGTGTCGAGTCGTTGCTATAATCATCGCGATTATGAGAATCACAGCGCCGTTTGCTTCTGATGCTTGACAACTTTCAGCAGACAGATGAACGATGACTGTCTTGGTCCTCATCGTCTGAGTATAACTCTTACAGATAAACAGGAATACTACGGATCCTTCATCAATACAACATACATTGT